CTACCCACCTGTAAAGGGCTTCTATACAAGGTTGCAGGCGGCAGGTAGTGGTAGTGGTGGTAGTAGTCGTTGTCGTCGCCGTCGCGGTCCTCGTCGTGGTGGTAGCTGGGGTGGGAACTGGGAGTAGTAGTGGTGTGGCAGTGGGAGTGGGCGGAGTGGCAGTAGTGGTAGCAGAGCATCTAGTCGTGGTGGTAGTAGCACTGCAGCAGTCGTCGTCGTCGTCGTAGTAGTAGTAGTAGTCAGAAGAAGATGCAGAGTTGTAGTTCGGTAGTTAGGGTTTAGGGTTTAGGGTTTAGTTGTAGTTCTAGTTGCGGTGTATGGCTTCGGATTTAGGCTTAGTTGATGTCGGGTCCTCCTCCTGGGTTGTTCGGCAGTCCACAGAACCCCCTAGAACCCATGGCCCCAAACCGTAAACCCCAGCCCCCAAACTCCTGAACCCCGAAATTAGACCCGAAAACCTTGAACCCCCAGCTCACTCCTAAATCCGATTCCTTGTAACCCAAAAACCTAAAGCTTAAACCCCAATCCCTAAACCCCAATCCCTAAACCCTAAACCCTAAATCTCAAACCCTAAACCCTTGACGACCCAGGTGGTCATGGCCCAAGGCCATAGCCACAAAGTTCTCAACGCTTTCCGTTCCCTTCCTGACTCGGAGCGGAAGGCCTGTAAACCGGCCCAGAGAGCCCAATACCCTTAATTAAGGAATTTACTGGGGTCTGGTTCAGGGTTTAGGATTTAGGGTTTAGGGTTTAGGGTTTAGGCTTCCAAAGGCTGGGGTCTGGAGTACCATACTTGAGTACTTTTGTTTGGACTTGTTCCTTAAACGAACCATTATGAAGTAAAAGTCTATATTTTTTCTCCGTGGTTACTTCAAAGAGGGTTTACCTTGAATTATATGGGGCTACATATTTATGGTTTAAGCTAAATTCCATAATTAAGGGGTGTTGGGCTCTCTGGGGGCGGCTTTTGAGTTCTGGGCTGCTAGGGTCTGGAGTTGTTGTGGCTTTCGGCTTTTAGGGCTTAAGGTTTTGGGGTTTAGGCCCTAGGCTTTACTAATACAGGCTTCAGCAACTTAGGGTTTAGGGTTTTAAGGTTTTGCATTTTTGGGGTTTGCAGCTAAGTCTAGATCGTTTTCAGGTGGGTAGTTACCGTTATAGGAGCTTTATATGGGCTTATATACCTTATAGAAGCCTTATAGAAGCCCTATATACCCTAAAACTCCCCACCTGTAGTTTCCTTTAACTTTTTAAACCCTAAACCCTAAACCCTATACCCTAAACCCTAGACTAAGGGTCTGGAGTCTGGGGCTTTCAGGTTTTGTAGCATGTAGTAACATTGCGGCTCAATGAGGCTTTGGGGTTTAGGGTTTAGGGTTTAGGGTTTAGGGTTTAGGGTTTAGGGCCGAGTCTAGGGTTCAAGGTTTAGGCGAGTTTAAGGGGCTGGCAAGGCTAAGCTAAGGTACAAAAACCCCGAAACCCTAAAAACCCTAAACCCTAAACCCCTAAACGGGTTGGGGCCTTGAGTTTCGAAAGCCTCAATTACTAGGCCGCAATGTCTGACACCCCCTGGGTTTAGGGTTTAGGGTTTTAGGGTTTGGGGTTCTAAACCCTAAACCCTAAACCCTTAACGCTATACCTTTAGGGTTTAGTTTAGGGTTTTAGGGTTCAGGGTTTAGGGGTTTAGGGTTCGGGTTCCCTTGCAAAAACGCCGTCATTCCGAAGACACGAAACGCAGGTGCTGTCCGAAGAGTTGACTCGCACAGCGTCCCAGTCTCAGAGTATTCTAAACCCTAAACCCTGAACCGGTAAAATCCTAAACCCCTAAAGTCCTAAACCCCTAAAGCCCTAGGCCCTAAACCCCTAAAGCCCTAAAGACCTAAACCCGTAAAATCCTAAACCCTAAACCCTGAACCCTCATCTGCCTAAGTTGGGTTTAGGGTTTAGGGACCTGCACAACCCTATGTTAACGTACCATACTCTAGTTTGAGAAATGGGCAGTTCTGTAAATTAGGGTTCCTGTTTAAATAGGTCCCCAGTATGGTACGGCACCCTTATAAAAAGGACCCAAAAGGGGACCCTAATTTAGAGAACTACCCAGATGTTTAAGACAGAGTACGGAGTTGGTAGTGATACTACAGAGTTGCAGGTGGATCGTGGCAGGGTTGAGGCAGCTAGGGTGCAGGGATCCGGGACTTAGGGTTCAGGGTTTAGGGTTTAGGGTAGACCTAGGTGTACTTGCTAGGACTTCGGGTTTCGTGTTTACGGATCTAGGACGGACGTAGGCCAAGCTCCAAACCCCTCACTCACCCTAAGCTTATGCGAAATGCACCCGAAAATAGGACATGCATATGGAGCCCGAAACAGCTACAAACCTTTTCAATCGCTGTCTCTGCAGATTCAGGTTGCATCGTCCTGCTCTTTGAGCCCTTCCCTGGCATGCATGTATGTATGTATGTATGTATGTATGTATGTATGTATGTATGTATGTATGTATCCGTAAAGCTTAAAACCCTAAACCTTTATATCCATGTGGTATTTCTGCTCATATACTGGATCCCCGGCTCTAGAACGGACCGGAGCGAGATGCGATGTGTGCCCTACATAGTCTGCATCTCCGCACGCTCACAGTATCAATCCAAGCAGGTTTAGGGTTTAGGGTTTAGGGTTTAGGGTTTAGGGTTTGTTCCAGCGTCTTGGGGTTTTGGGGTTTCAAAACCCTAAGCCCTAGATCTTTCTAGGTTTTTCTGTTACATGATGTGTTAACCGCATGCTTCCCTCTAAACTCTGAACCCTTGACCCCAACACTGTCTTCAAGCACAGCTGGAGCCCACACCCTGAAACCCTAATAACCGTAAAACCTTTACCTGAAACCGTAAACCCCAGACCCAACCTTAAGCCATGAACTCTAAACCCCAAGCTTCAAGAACTAAGCCCCAAACCCCTAAACCCCTAAACCCTAAAACCCTAAAGCCCTAAACCTAAACCCCTAAACCCCTAAAACCCTAAACCCTACACCCCTAAACCCCCAACCCCTAAA